CATTCAGTAAGATTCGCACAACATCCAACAGCCACGGGGAGGAGGTCGTGTCGCATCGCAATACGGGCGAGAGTCGTGCCCCAATCCATTTCTTTCTTTCACGATGTAATGCTTGCCGTGATGGTAGGTTGAGCAGACAATGCGTATAGTCCCATTCTTGAGGAACGTCCATACAGTATGACATGGTTTAATGCTTCAATCCTTAGTTCCGAACGTGAGCGGCGCAACAAAAACTAGAGTCGTGCATTCTACGCTTGCACTAAATACGACTGAAAGAGAACAGTCTGCTGTTGCTTGCTAGAGCAAAAAACCTTTATTCATTCACATTGCCTGATTCACCTCATTCTTTGGAAGTTACAATACAATAAGAGAGCAGTCTTTCATCTTAAGACTATCATTTCTTGCAAATTATAAAATTCCTATAATCAAGGGAAAAACTGTCACAAGAAGTCAGCCCCGTATCCTCCTCGCGCACTCTTGTAATTCCCTCTGGCAGCATCTGGAATAATACGAGTGGCAAACAATGCGAAAATATAAGTTCTATTCCAACGATCTTCAAATGTGGTCTTCTACTGCAGGCCTCAGGGACCTTGACTGCACGCATGCTGGATGAACCTGCGGTCAGCGTCACTCACCAGGGAGGTCGTTCAGGACGTGGAGCGCTTTTTGAAAACGGTTTTTTGCATGATGTGGGGGTCACGTGCATGGAGTACCAAACTGATGTTCATTTTTCCTGAACGCCTCTGGGAATACCAAAAAGGAGTGAAAAAGGGGTCCATGCAAACAGATTCTTCTTGATCCTCTGTGGGCTCTAAATCACCGAATGGAAAAATACAAATAGGGTCTTACTTCCGGCACGTGATTAGTGGACTGTTCTTGGAATGATTTCTTCAACGATCAGCTGCTTTGAGCAGCTGCACCGATCGGATGGCTAGTGGATAGCGCGGAGGATTCACAAAGGCTCAGTGAGGGGTGGGGTTGGTGGTTCGACTTCACCCGCAATGCGAGTTTTTGCATTTTTTCACGTTTCGCTGTTCTCGCCTTGCCCGTTTATGATTCTAACTCGGATATCTGCCATTTATAGGCGCATTCCCACTAGTTATACTCCACGAGTCGGTGCTCTTCGACAACTTCGATTTTCACATACCACTGAGCAAGAGCTTTTCTAAAAAATGATCTTTATATGATATCAGTGTCCTGATTTCGGCTATGGCACTTACATTCAGCTGTAGTGCCACTTTTCGTAACTTGGAGCCAAGTCCTTCTCTTGATGGACTCGTAGAGTGCACTCATTCAGGGAACTTTCGGGACCATTCTGACGCCAGAAATAAGTGTTAGAATCGTGTTTAGGATCATTGATTACCCCTCCCCCCATGTGCTCCACACAAAGATGTTGTACCTTGCGTGTACAAAGTTGTGGCCGTTCGAAGGAAGACTACTGCAGCAACTTCTCGCCTAATTTGTACAATTTATGAAATGGCAAGCTCTAGTGTACTTATGGGTGGGCGTGAGCAGTGCGCGAAATTTAGTCCTAATAAGACGAGTCAATAGGTTATACCCGGCATTTGGAATAAGGTGAACGCGGTGAGAGACTGCGAAGCAAACCGGATACAAACCATCCTCGAATCTGTTGTGAGAATTTGTGGCACTGTCAGAATTTGCGGGATTCTGTGAAGGGAGTTATAAGCGTATGTACAATGACATCAGCCGTGGTAACCTTTTTTAGAGGGTTGGTACGATCCCCTCCCCTGGTTCCCGGTTCTCATCGAGCTGTTGAGGGGAAGAGGGAAGTGGGGGGGGGGGGGGTGGTGTGAATAGCACTTGTAAAGCGTAAAAAACCGCGAGAGTACGACCTCCTCCCAATTCCCTCCATTTCGGATTTTTCCCAACTTCCTACCTTTTTTTCCTAAATTTCCCGGAAATTTTGCTTTTTACCTGAAAATTAGCTGACCAGTGGCAGGAACGGGTGGGGAGGTACAGTCCTCATCATTGCGGACCGGTGGGGCGTGTCAGCCAGTATGAGTGTGCACACTGTTGAAGCCGTTCTCAGCCTTTTGTTGAAACGCGTATGCGACAAAAAGTGGTAGAAAACGAGTAATACGAAGGATATAATACAGTAATGTCACTTGCCCGCTTCAACAACTGGTGCAGAACGACTTTGGCACCGCGCCAAACGCAGCCGCACTGACACGCCCCACCGGTCCGCAATGATGAGGACTGTATATCCCTTCATTTTATAAACCAGTAACTTGTGTGTCGGTTTGTATGTATGTAAGTATGTATGTATGTATGTATGTAAGTATGTATGTATGTATGTAAGTATGTATGTCTGTCCGTCCGCAAAATGTTTTCACGGGTTCGATTTACTGGAGGGAAAAACGACCGCTAGGCAAACCGGAAATCGGTTGGTGCAGATGTATCAATGCAATGTTTTGATTGTGATAACAGCCTCCACTATATAAGACAACCATTCGGTACACTCCGAGCCATTGCACGAGCTGCTGCCGTGGCAGCTGGACGTGTGCTCGTGCGGGGGCAGGGTGGGGTGGAGCCGAGGGGGGGGGCGCCTAGTGCCCCCTCCCTCTCTGCTTCCTTCCCCTGCACGTGCTCAGCTGGACTTGAGCACGTGCAAGTGAAGGAAGCAGAGGGGAAGGGGTACGGTGAAGGGGGGGGGGTAGCGCACGCTCGAGTGGAAGCACGCAGCAACAGCAAGAGATGAGAAAACAACCGCCAGAAAAATTTCAAATCCTTTTCATTCTATAAACCATTTGTCCGCAAAATGCTTCACGGGTTAGAATTAGTGGAAGGAAGAACGACCGCTAAGCAAACCGGAAACCGATAGGTGCAGATGTATCAATCCAATGTTTTGATTAGGATAACAGCCTCCGCTATATAAGACAACCATTCGGTACACTCCGAGCCATTGCACGAGCTGCTGGCGTGGCAGCTGGACGTGCTCGTGCGGGGGCAGGGGGGGGTGGGCCGAAGGGGGGCCCCTCTGCCTTCCTCCACCTGCACGTGCTCAGCGGGACATGAGCATGTGCAAGTGGAGGAAGCAGAGGGGAGGGGATACGGTCAAGGGGGGGGGGGGTAGCGCACGCTCGAGTGGAAGCACGCAGCAACAGTGAGAGATGAGAAAACAACCGCCAGAAAAATTTCAAATCCTACTCTATATAATTCACTAAGTATGTGTCTGTGTGTGTGTGTATGTTTGTGTGTGCGTCTGTCTGTGTGTCACGAAATTCATAGCGCCGGTCCCAGTAGCAGTGAGACATTGATTTCAAGAAGTGATGTAGGCGGTGTGACGGGAACACTATTGGTGGGTGACAGGAAGTGATATCAGTTGATAAGATCCGATAAGAGGCGTTAGAAGGGAGAGGTCACCATAATCATAACGCCGCTGACAGCATCAACTAGCTCCTGATACTTAGACATGATATAGGGTACGGACCAACAACATTATTTCTGAGTGACAAAAACTGCGAGCTGCTGATAAGATTCGATAAGGGGCTTCAGAAGGGGGAGGTCACCATAATCATATAGCCGCTGACAGCGTCAACTAGCTCTTGATTCTAAGATATGATATAGGGTACGGGCCAAGAACATTATTGGTGGGGGACAAGAACTGTAAGCTGCTGATAAGATTCGATAAGGAGCGTTGGAAAGGTGAGGTCATCGTATTCACAGCGCAGGTCACAGCATCAGCGAGGTGCACGTCCCAGCAGGTGATATAGAGGGTGAGAAGGGGACATCAACCGTGGGTGACTGGAAGCGATAACTACTGATAAGGGCTGATAAAGGAAGTTGCAGTCGTCGTCGCTGTTCAAGATGGTTCACGCTACCAAATCATAGAGGTTTTGTCATGAGGACATTAATGACGGGTGACAGGTAATCTTATCAATCGATAAAAATGGATAAGATACCATCTGCGCTACATTTTTATCACTTCTTACCGCTTTAATGCCGAGTATTAGAGCTCAGTGTGTGAATTCTTTCCTTGATGTCAACTGAATCATTGATGTGTTCGTGTTGCATGAAATTTTGTCGAGCGGGGGGGGCATATGTGTAGCGCGCGGCTGAAACGGGAAAATCAGAAAAATTTACCAATCTGGCTGCTACGTGATTTTTTAGGAGGCGGCGCTTGCAATCGAAGCAAAATAAGGAGGTAACCCATCAATTGGGAGTGAAGACGTCCTGTTGGTGCAAATATTCGAGCTGTCGTGCGACACACGCTTTGACATGTACAACCATTGTGTTGTCCTCTTTTTTAGTGCCACCCATGACTCCGCAGTTATGCCTCTTCCGGGTGTTAAGGACTCATCCGGACTAATTCATCTTTACCCATTCTGATGTCGCAACTTCGCTCCTTAATGATATGGTGCAACCTTCTCACGGCTGAAAGTCAGTAGTAAGCAAGAGGGGCCCAGATGTTGGTAGATAATGGGTGATGTTGAGCTTTTTTCAACCCATTCCCCTACATAAAAAAGTATAACTGCTACCGTTTGGCACATTTAGCGCATTCTACCCCGCTCAAGGGAGAGTGCCTGGCGAAGCCAGGTCGGCCCGGCGAAGCCGGGCCGTGAAACAGAAGGAGGAGCACCCGGCGGCAGCCGGGTGATCCGACTGGTATAGTACATAAGAAACAGGAAAATCCACAAAAAAAATCAGAGAACGCAACAATCTCTGTATTTCTTCATTGCGCCATGTATTTATCTCCCACGGAAAGGTGATGACAAGTTGTAACTTCTGTAATGTTTGCACGTGCAGGGAGACGTGTTTGGTCTCGTAGAAAGTTCCAGAGTGACATCCCCGCTTTACCCTTACTCACTCTTGGCTGATCTCTCTGCTCTAGAGAGAACTCGTGCAAAAAGGCGATTGATGCTCCATGATCCGTGGGCGAAGATTGATGCGACTCCCCATATTACTGCGCTGCCAGCGAAAAAACACTGCACTGATGATTATACCGGCTTCTTTAATTCGGATCCCTTTCTTGCTTTACACTACGATCTGAGCACTCTCCAAGCACTTTCTAGTTTTAAATGGTAAGAGACGAAACTCACCCATATACATTTATGGCCAAGTTTCTTTCTAACGTAGTCGGTTGAAGATCCATCTGACCATGATCCTAACCAACCGGTGGGAAATCTCACGTACCAGTCGGATGCGCCCCCATCTTTTGCATATACAGCCAATGCCAGATCTGTAACTGGATTTGCATTAGTGAGTACTTAATTTTCTTACCAATTTAAAAGGAAAAAATAGGTCTGACTGCGCATGAAATCTACTGACGCAGCCCTAGTTTAGGCTGTGTGCTCAGTTTGAAGATTAGGATGGTGAAATGGAAGAAATCCAGCTAACGCGCTGCAAAGAACCAGGTTTCAGGTTATAGGAGAATGGTTCAGATTCAGCTACAACCAAGGAGAGGCTGCGGCGAACTGCTACCTTTTCTCCGTGGATTCTGGTACTTGCCATGTGCGATAAGAACAGCCTCACACCTGCTGTGCTGCTTTCTCTAAAAAGTGCATGGGAGGGGCTGCAAAAAGGTCGTACATGGGAACCATCTCTCGACTTCACCGGCATCACTGCACGGCTAGTCATTCGCCAATTACCTAGACATCCTGCTTGTCCACGCCTCCCCAATCCTCGTTGTTTTCTGCTTATGAATGCGTGTTAGCTGCGGGGTGTTGGTTTGACACAAGTATTGCACCTTGCGCATAGCGCGGGTGGAATCAGGTGGATCGCAACCGTGAACCATCACTCTCCAGCCTTCCCATACTTTCTTTGACACGAAAAAGTGGCATGCTACTGCAACTGCAGACCCTTTAACCCCACTCATAACCCCCCTTTCACCCCTCTCTTGGAGGAGAGCTCGGCGTCAGCCGTGCGATCCGACTGGTGTCTACATAATTTTCAAGTCAAGCAGAGTTCATGTCGCTGAGTCAGCCCTTCTTCACAAAAGAATGAGTGAACAATTCGCTCGTTGAGTGCCCTCCATGAGTTACTGTAGAAGGTCGAACGCCTTTTCATCCGTTGTGAGCCCCGCTACTCAACATTTGTTGCTGAGAATAAAGCCCCGCTACTCAACATTTGTGATCGCGGCACGCACCTTTAGAGTTCTCGGTCAGGTGGCTCCGGGAGACAAGACTCTTCTAGACCTAAGATTCTGCTCACGAGTCATGTTTTCAATAGTCACTATTACCAAGAGATACTGCAATATATAGAAGCCAATGTTTTCTTGAGTGCTAGGGAGCCACTCACAGTAGGATTCTTACACATTTTTAGTGGCACCTCGGAAAGATCTCAACCACAGCATAGTATCGGGGAAAGCCTTAGAACAGTAAAGTCGATCCTGCTATTTGCCCTTCCTAGATTTTGAAAAGGCTCTCAACCGTCCACTGGAGATTTCTGATCTTTCCTCATTGAGTATGAAGAAAGAGCAAAAAGAATCTTATGGACTGCTCGAGACAGAAGCCCGTAGCAATCCGAGCTTATGTGAGCCAACAGTGAAGAATGGACGTGTCTGGACGAGTTCTCACTTGTTGCCTTATCATTTCACTCTTATCATTCAGGATGATAAGAGTCGGTAGGATAACAACTACACCACCGAGTGCCACTGGAAATGAACGTCGGGTATAGTATGGGGCAGTGACTGGACTACGTTTTCTCCCCTGCCCCACCTCCCTATCATGTATTTCCGAGCTCTCCTCCCTGCATCCTCTCTGCTTGTGAACTGTACTACCCTGAAGATCGCGGGACATGTCTTTCAATTCAAAATAGTTACTGAAAGACTACTAATGTTATCAACGAAGTCAAATGCGCTCACATCAACCTGGCGATGCAGCCGAATAGGAAAGGGATCTATTTATTTATTTATTTATTTATAACGATGTCAAATAATTATTTGCTCCAGACACCGAAATCAAATTGTTCATAGATCGAGAAAAGGATCAGATCAGCGAATGTGCCCAAGTGACAATTTCAAAATTTCCCTGTTCATCAGGTCGGTGAGACGATTCGTTACCTGATATATATGTGTCCTCCTCTTGTGATCGGACAGACAGCAAGTGCCCCCGATCTTCTTCACAAAACTGTTCAGCCTCTCCGTATGAGATGTCCTTGTGGAAAACGTTTTGCATCCTCACAATCTGCGGATAACTTGGGTTAAAACTAAGTATTTTACCCTTAAAATGTATTATTGCAGATTCGTTACACCCACCTTGATCATTGTATCGTCTTCATCACCTAGATAAATCCACTGCCCAGCTTTGGCTTTCTCAATCAATTCATCATCAATCTTAGGGTATTCGGCTAGGCAAAGTGTCGGCAGGAGGAGAAGATGAAGAACACGGTGAAACGACCACATCAGAGCAATCCACCACAGCAGGAGGAATGATACTTTATCACCTCGCTTATATGTTGCTCCTTATCGCATTGCTTCTGATCTTCGTAATTTGCCACGCGTAGCTTGCTTTAACCAGCGCAAACTTGTTCTGTTCTTACTAATATCCTTAATTCAGCGCCAGATGATGCAAAGAAACGACTTGTAAGCCACTGAGAAGCCACTTGTAAGCCACTGAGGGGTTGCACAGAGGCCGCACTGTGTCGATTTGCAAGCACGGGCAGGAAGGGCGTACAAGAAAATGTTGCTGCCATGGAGGGATCTTTATTCAGCGGTTGTAGCACCATCAACGTCATGAGGGCAGCTGCTCTTCTGCTATGGAAACATTGTGAGAAGCAAAAGCTTGCGCATGTAGCACTTCTAAATTTGGTGAATCTTTTGATCGTCTTCTACATGATATGGTGTGGTACGCCTTGCGACGGTTACGTGACATCTTGAACTTTTGGAGGCGGTCCTGTTACGAAACCCTGTGACGCAGACGGATAGAGGGCAGCGGCTGCCAAAGCATCGAAACGTGCAAAAAACGTATGGCGAGCCAGGAAGCGGGATTTTTCAAAGGGAGGGGACTCCGGGGTGGGTGAGCCACTTACCATGTGTGAAAAGCTGGAATATGTGAGGTCACAATGAGCACAGAATGCAACAAGGACGAGAGGGTGCAGAGAAAAAGAGATGATCGACGCATTCAAAGGGATTAAATTCAAGTTGTCCGTAGACCGCCTTGCGACAATATGGCGTCCTCGAGAGTTAGTCAAATGGGTGTGCATCGTTTATTCAAACCTAGCAGAAAACGGAACGGCAGGCTTTTCGATGGAGTTTCCTATCGCCATCGGGATACTCCAATGCTCCTGCTCTGCTCACTCCTTTTCATGGCCCATGGATGCCACTTCAAAAAAACATCCAAGTATCTGGGATCAGCAGTTACGTCCGATGGAGGTCTCAACTCAGAAGTGAATGCTTGTGTGAGTGCAGCGTGGTTCAAATGGCGATCCATGACCGGAATTCTTTGCAACAAGAAGATGATAGTGCGCTACGCGTTTTGACCGCATTTGTAGCGACGTAATACGCAGTCAGGTCCGTATAGCACATGTGACGACAAAATGCGAGAAACGTGCCTTTGGAGGGCGACCGCGCAAAGGCAACGCTTGCCCGCTTGAATAATTGCTATAGAACGGGCTGGCGCCGTGTCAAAGCCATTTCTTTTCACACGTTCCAAACTCGCAGCGAGAACGACTGGGTATTTATTCTGTACGTCATAGTAAATGCCAAAGCATTTCAGATAGGAAAGTCTCTACGAGCTGATGAAGAACCGTCACCAGAACTTTCAGCTTATAAACTGAGCGCGGGCTTCGCGATTGGATTGATTTGTCTCGGTTTAGGTAATCCTTTTGTGGTTGAGGTTATTTTTTTATTGCTACTTGTGCAACATTTATTAGGTTGGAAAGAAAGTCCTGTCAGTGTTTTTGAAAAGCTTACAGTTTTTGATTCTCGATGCTCGTACATGACGTAACATGCTATGCTTGTAGAACATTCTAGGAGCTTTCCTGCAAGAGGTGTGTGAGGGCGCCATATTCTATCAAAGGCCCCGCGGCACTGGAGCCACGGCAGCTGTACCGCAACATCAACTATGCATTGGCGGAGGACACCACTATCACCATGACCGTCCACTCGTAATC